GAGCAGCAGGTCGGGGCAGCCGCTCCGGGAGGATGTCCAGTAGCAGCGCTCCTCTCCCCAACCCTTGGGGACCTTCCACTGAGGCATTGAAGACAGGAGGAAGGGGTCCGTCATCGACTCGCGGGGCTCCGCGCCACCTCTGCGATCTTGCGGAAAGACGAGCGGGTGGGTGGGCGTCTGGGAGGAGAGCTGGAGGGTGGTGGAGGGGAACGGGGGTGGCTGAGGGGGGCGGGGAGGGAGGGAGCAGGAAGGAGCGGAAGATGGCAGAGTTACCAAGTGGGCGTCTCAGTCATGGCCAAGGGTTGCGCGACCCTCCTGGAAGCCCGGAGCTGGGGTGAGAGCGGGCAGCTCCGAAGCCCCTGGGGTGGTGCGCGGCTGAATGGGGCGGTGGCGGCGGCAGCAAGGACATCACACCGCTCGGATCCTGCGGGGGAGGGAAGGGGGAGGGGGTGAGGACCAGGCTGGGATCCGCCACTCTGCCAGCCCGGGGCCAAGGGGACAGAAAGGAGCAGGTAAATCCGGAGTTGGATCTTCTTGCGGGATGAAAGGAGTGGAAGGAGGAGGGACCATCGTGTGAAAATCCCCTTTGGGGATTAGATTTAAGGGTTAGAAATTGCAGCGGATCTGTCCCCCACCCCTGATATTCCATCTGTCTAAAGGTTTGGTTTAGGATCACTTTTTAAGGGTTAGAAATTGCAGCGGATCTGTCCCCCACCCCTGATATTCCATCTGTCTAAAGGCAGCGGGAGCTTTCTAGCTGTCTCTCTCTTCTCTTCGCCATTTACTCCGGTCTCAGTCCGGCAGATGAGGCAGGGGCGCGCCGGAGGAAAAGGCAGCAATAAAAGTTTCACGGTTAATCACCTGGGCAGATGCGAAGGTCGCCCCCACCAAATTGCTCCTGCAAAGACGCGGGCTTCTTGCAATGTACCTTCCCCTTCCTCAAGATATTTAAAACCACCCCAAGGCAAACACGGATCTGCCTCCCCAGCTCAACACACACACGCATGCACGCGCGCTCGCGGCGCGCTAAACTCGGGGAGAAAGGAGTTGCTGGGGAAACAGCACCGGAAGAGCCCCAGATTGTAAAATGCGAATAAATGAATGCGAAATCGTAGCAAACACAAGGCAGCGCCGCGGAGGGCTGGAGCACGCGTGAGTGTGGGAGTCCCTCCCTGGACGCTGCAGCAGCACCTCCTCCCGTTCCCAGCTCCGTCCCGCCCTCCGGCCTCTGCGGACTCTGCCCCGGCCGAGCACAGCCGGGCCAGCCAGCCAGACCTCGGGACCAAGCAGAGGCCGTCCAACCCCGGCCACCGCCCTGGCTGTCCGGGACCTCCCAGTCGCTCAGCCGCGGACCCCGCGCCTCCAGCTGCACAGCCGGGACTGGGGCTCCGGTTGGGGAAGCTGGCGGTGAGGAGATGGGGATAGGACGAACTGAGGGAGGTGGACAGCAGCCCGACGGTGTGCTGCGAAGACTGGGGGCCCCTCCGAAGGCAGAGGAGAGGGGAGGGGGCCGTGAAAAGAGACAGGAGAGCGCTCGAGGCTGGGGTGCTGCGGCCCGTCTCCGGGCCCAGCCTTCACTCCTCGGCACCTGACGCTGCGGAGCTGGGGCGCCCACGTGGGTGGGCCGGTGAGGGTTGGGGTGTGGGTGCTCGCCGCGGTCCCGCCCACATTTCCCCCAGCACAGCGGCTGGGAGAGGGTGGAGGTCTCCCGCCAATAAATTGGAATGAGAAATTACGTGGTGACCCCCAAGTCCGAAGGGGATCCCTAAGGCCCAGAAGCAGCCTCCAAGACTACTACTACCAAGCTTTTGGGTCCTCAATTTCCAGGCAGCTTCGAATTCTTGACGGTAGGGTAAAGTGAGCAAGTACTGAGTACTGGTGTGTGTGCGCGTTTGTGTGTGTGTGTGTGTCCATCTATCTAATGAAAGGTGGGTAGATAGGGCAGGGAGGGTGGGAGGGGAGGTAGGGAGAGAGAACTCCAGAAACAGGGAGAGCTAGAGAGAGAGAAAGAGAGAGAGAGAGAGAGACCCCGCGCTCCTGCGAGCGCCAACTCCACCAGAATCCGAAACCTGCGAGAGGAGCTACAAGCTCAAGAAAAGGAAGAGGGGTGAGCGGATGGATGGAGAGCCTGTGAGTATTTGCCCACGTACATACTCGTAAACGATCTAGGGAGGAACAGGCAGGAGCTCCCGCGGAAGTGCTGCGACCCAGCTGTGATTCTTGTGCCAGCGCAAGGGTGGGGAGTGGGAGATCGGTGGTGGGAGTGAAGCTGAGAAAGAAATCCCCCAACTTAAAGAAGCAAAGGCGACCAAAAAGAGTGGCGTGGCCGGTTTGCAGATAGACGCAGAGGTGACAGAGAATGCTTGTAGAACGTTTTCCCTGGATCCGGGTCACCTGTGCAGGAGGGGGATGGGGTTCTTGAAAACCGGCCAGTGAAGCGAGTTGATAGTTGAATATTGGTATCTTTCTCAAGATTAGATGGTAATTATTTTTTATACCCAAAATATGCCTTCTTTACAAAAACGGCAAAAGCCTTCAATGAAAGAGTGGCAACACTGAAAATTACTTTAAGGAAAAATACTGCATTTATCAATAGCAATTTGAAGACAAAAAATGAAAACTTGGTTTCATGATAAATGCGCCCACTCAAGTAACCTTTCCTCCTCTTCACCCAGGTTGGTTTCCCGGGACACAGATTTTGTAACCTGGTCAAGGAAGTGGCCACCGCAAATTTTGCTAAATAGATGTATCCCCAGGGGGTATACAGGAAATTCCGGAAGGAAATCCCGGAGGGGGACAGGGATCCTCACCTTTTGTCCATGCTTGTGTTCGAAATCAAGTTCTCATAAGTAGTGCCTCTCTAATCTGTCATTCCCAGCACTCTCCTGGGCAGTGCCTGGGGCTTTGGGATTAAACTTCTATGCAAATCTCAGTACTGAGGGAGTGAGTGTGTACATCCTGGACCGGGTCTGTGACAGAGGCACACTCAGGTACTCTGTTGACTAACCAACAGGCTGAGTCAAGGCAGAGGCCGAGGCCCTTGCTCCACCTCCACTCTGCCAGGTTGCAGTTGCAACTTTTTCCTGGAAGATTCTATCCATTTCCTTCACACACATGCATACATACTTTTAGCCAACCACCACATCCTGCTTGTTTGGCAAACTCCCTTCTCATATGTGAGTCCCAGAACCCAACACTTGCTGAGTAACTCTACCCCCCTAATAGGGACCTTCAAAATTTTTCTTTCTGTGAAAAACCAACATATGGGAAAAGTTCAGCTTCTCCAAGAGAAGGTTATGTACACATATGGTCAAAATACAAAAATGAGATTATTTTGAAAGGGACAGTTTATAAGCTAATAGATATTATGAGTTAAATGTGCTGCTCTAGAAGAGGGTGCTTTGCCATAGTCCCCCAAGGTTAGCATTGAAACAGTGACTATAGAAGATAATGCAGAATTAAACCTCAATGAACCTAATTAAAATGTCATGGGTTTTCTCTTAGCTTTCATCTTCATAACAATGAAAGGATTTCTAAAACCCTAAAAAGAATTGGTTTAAGACACTTGCTTTTCCAATTCAAATGTGGATTCATTTAGTATTTGTCTACATACATGTAGTTCTTTATAGAAAACAACAAAGCTTCAGGTTCACCAACTTCCCTCATTAATTCACCTGCACTACTGTCATCATCTTAAAGGTTGTCTTTCCATCTCTAAAACAGGTAATGTTAAAAAAAATAACTAAAACTAATGCTTCTGACACATTCCATATTACATAATAGTTTTATTTCTAAATAATGTTTAAATTTATTTACATATTTATGAGATGTAAAGTTATTTTTCCATTTTATTAACTAA